GAGGCCTCTTGCACACTGAGGCCCCCGCAATGCGAGACGAAGAGGCGTAGTTTAGGATGGGCTGCGTGAAAATGGGAAGAAAATTGTTATTAATTATGTCCACGAAAAATAAAAATAAAGTAATTGTCTTTATGTTGTCGTCAGCAGAATGCGCTCGTACCAGTACCGCAAAATTCCTCTTTTTCGTCAATTTGCGAAATTTCTCTAATAAAATACTCTTTAAAATATCCATTTTTGTTTTTGTTTAACACAAATTGAAGTTAAATTGCATGTAGGTACGATCCATCTCAACATATACAGGGTGGGCCGTCAGTGCCTCTCTTTATTTTGCTTATACGATACTGGATAAAGGCGTGCGGGCGGATGACTAGCATACTCGGTCGCACGCATGCCGTAAGGCGCCTGGAAAAGCGACGATTGGGAAGCCCGCCGGCCCGCCGGCACGCCCGCATCTCGTGCAGCATGGCCGGAAGAAAGAACGAAGCTGACGGACCACCCCGTACTTTGGTCATTTTGAAACCAAGAATGATACGTTTTTGATACCTCTATCGTAGTTCGTTTGACTCACCGAACAGGTCGTTCTGTGGCGCCCATGCCTCCACCCTTACGTTGGCGGCCACCGGCTCCCCGACCACCGCGTCCGGCTCGATCTTCCACAGCACCCTAACCGGTGCCAGAGCTGCAAAGCTGTCTACGAGCGCACGCTTCTTGACTGGATCAATGAACTTCCCTTTCATGATTGATCCGAACGACACGAAAATAAAGCCTTCTTTCGAGTCGTCCATCCATTTGCGGAGGTCCTGCAAACAATAAAGGTGGTTGAGAGAACTGTCATCTGCGTGGCTGGGGCGAGATAAGGAAATGCAGGGATGCTCGTCCCCTTGTGCGTGCGTGTCGGAAGTCGATCGGCTATCGAGTCCTTCGCCTTCGGAAGATCGCTTTTAACCGTTGTTGCAACACTTGTGCAAAGTGGACTCACCGACGGAATCCTGCCCAGGTCGGCGGGTTTGACGTGCATGCCGCCGACGGGTATGAGGCTCGGCGGCAAGGGTCTGGCCGCCTCCAGGACGGGGTTCTCGTTGACGAGGGCCACGTGCACGTGCTGCCTCAGCTGTTCCACGGAAGGTGCGTCCTCGCCGAAGAACCTTTTGATGAGGCCGTCCTGCACGGGCCGCCACCACCAGACCATCAACTTGGAGTGCGCGTGGAGAAAAAGGGTCCAAGCGCGCTGCCACAAGTTCATAGGGTGCGGGAAGGGCTGCATGGTGTGCGCCAGGATCGACGGCACCTGCGGGTTGTACATCAGGTCGTCGATCCACGGCGAGATGGGGAAGGGAGACATGGCGATCATGCCGGGGTAGTTGAAGCGGTGGGCGAAGCCGAGGGTACAGTCCGCTAAGTAGTCGAAGATGATGAGGTCGAAGGTGCCTTTGAAGGCCGGGTCGAGCAGCCGCTGCATGGTTGGTGCGGCCAGGTCACGTTTACAATCTTGTTCTCCGACGTCCTGGAGGATATTGATCTGCTCTACTACCGTGGCCACCATCCAACGCTTCATGTAATTCGGATCGTTGAGTTGGAAGGCTGTCTCAATGATGCTCGTGTTGAGGGTGGGCGGGTTCTCGCTGTGCTTGTTGATGTCGATGGAGGTGACGAGGTGGCCGCGCTTTGCGAGCTCAACCGTCAGCGCCGACATCCAGATGTGGTGGCTCATCGTGTCGATGGTCATGATGGAGAGGATGCGCAGCGGCTTCCGGGCGGGAACCGCTCCTGTCGCGGGAGCAGCCGCGGTCGTCTTCACTTCAGGCGCGGCCGAAGCGACGCACTGCATGAGCAGGAGCGGGAGGAGCAAGGCGGCCGCGAGGACCACGACGTTCTGTCGCGCGGTGGCGCGGGCCGGCGAGGCGTGCTGCATCGCGGAAGCTGACGGACTGACTGGTGACTGGTGTGGTGGGCCACTGGCACTTGGCCTTGCCGCTTTCGCGTGCTCGTTTGGAGGATGGGTGGGGAGAGATTACATACGATTACCGTCTTCTCTCACTGTGCCGTGTCATGGCGCTTGGTGGGGGGATAAGGTTGTTATTATATGGCATGAGAAGTCACAGCTATGTCTAATTTTGAGAACCACAGCTGTAGTTTTACGTTGCCTTTTACTTTTATTTACCAGGAGGCAGTAATAAGAGCTGTCATCACAGTATTGTGCTCTATGCTGACGAGCGATCGGGTTTTGGATTTTGTGACGTACCTAGGGGTCTTACACGGTCCCAAGCAAATACGAAATCAATTGTGATGTATGTTCTCAGCACACTGTTACCTCGACGACGGTAGGAGTTTCAACCGTAATATCCGCTAAAATGTGTTAGTATAGTACTTATCTTCGTGACGACCTTACGAGGAACGTGCTCCATATTATGAACGAGAAGTACGTAGCCCTAAGGGTCGTCGTTTTATCCTATAGCATCAGGGGGAGGGAGGGGGGGGCGTTCTCAAAGCGATGCCAGTTAATAGTCAGAGGTAAGACAGAGGTCATCCGAATGCCCCAGCAAGCCGCGCCCGCGCCCGCACAGCGACTGGCGATATGTACTAATCCTCGGGTCCGGCGCGGCCCGGGCCCGTCGTCGCACTGTCGTATCGCAGCCTTGACATTGGCTCTGGCCCGGCGGGAATCCCTCACGCCTCGCGCTAGTCGGACAAAGTGGCACTCGACTGGACTGGGCTGGGCACCGACCGGCCGCCCCGGCGGCGGTGCAGGTCGGTCTAAAAATAATACAATAATAGGTTCGACGCAGTTAGGCCAGCCAAGCCTCTTCATCCGCACAGCCAGCCGCCAGAATCAGCTGATCAATCATATCACCACAACCTGGTCCTCACCAAACACTGTCACACACGGCGAGGATACGTTTTCGTTTTATCGACCTACCATCGAAGCGATAGTGACAAGCCAATAATTATGTGTGTCGGTCGATTGTCGCTATATTGAGGTAAAGCTTTTGCTTCAGAGGGATCGCCCAGAAAGTACGTATACGTACGTTTTCCATAGACTATATCGGCAAATTGCGGGAGCTTGACGCCTACGCGACTCGGGGTAGGCCAGCCCGCAGTACACGCATGCACTTCAGACAATATGTTGCCTACCTACCAGGCGCCATGAGAGCTTTGCAGAGGCTGCGGCTGCATTTATTTGGCGGTTGCGTAACGGCGAATGACGGACGCACTTTCTGGGTGTCTACGG